TGTGCCATGATTTTTGGTCAGTATGCCATATAAGGGGGCAAAAACAAACGTGTAGAAAATACGTTTATTTATCATAACCTGCCTAATTAGCTAGTTTTGAAAAAGCTAGTGCCATTTCCATGTTCTGGTTGGGGATGTACCTATTGAAACAGGATGACTTCCATCTCCCCAGATGTTTGATTACGTGGGCTGGAACCTGCTGCCTTGACGAGGCCGACGCTGCCCCCATCCTAAAGGAGTGCCCCGAAAATTGTTTGGGGTTAAACCCTAACTGTGAGAGGAGAGCCTGGATGTGGCCCATGAATTTGTTGGATGACAAGCGGTTATGAGGGAAAGGCAGTAAGGGGTTATCTCCCAGAAGCAGGGACAGTTTACCCATCAACTGATACAACACTTTTACCGGGCACCAGGGATTGCCAAAAGGGAAATACTTTACCTCCGTGGGGATACTGGTTTGATTGGTTTTGCAGCGAGGTAGCGACAAGATGTAGTGACCAGGTGACTAACTAAATGCTAACTGTAGTGACTAACTAAATGCTTTTTTTACCAGAACCTGCGACTTGACGTCGACCCGAGTGAACTCTCCTGGTCTCAGAAACCAGTAAAAGGCCAGATAAATAGCCTCTTTTAAAACCGTGCTTGGCATCACGCCAAACGGTTCCCTATCCAATGTAACCGACTGAGCGCGAAACATGTCACCCGACAACGGTACTCTGGCCGGTACGACCGTGGCGTGGCACTTTTGAATACCTCTTAAAATGGCTCTAACTGGGTGAGCGGAAAACAAGGAGGGTCTGTCAGGAAATTATAAAGGTAGAAAATGTTGGACCCCCGCCAAGTACATTTTTATGGTAGTATATGCGAGTTTTAAGTCGGTATGGCAGTAAGAGATAAAGGCCAAAATAAATGAAATACTACCAGGGTCTGGGGTGAAGTGTGAACCCTGAAATTTGCAGAAAAGCTGCCACGCTACAGTATAAGCTTATATACGTGTATTGTGTGCTAGTGAATGATTGATGAGTCCAGCCGCGTTGCGCTGTTGTCTACTCAGTCCAAGCGAAGTTGGTGAAAAAGTGGTACTGTCGTGGCATTGACGTCAGCGTCTGGCATCTGTTGGAAGAAAAGTTTAAAATTTAAACGAGACAAAGCGTCAGCCGCAACGTTACTAGCACCAGGGATGAAAGAAAATGTAGTATTACATTTATGCTGTAAGGACACCCACGTTAACCGCCGCAGAAACGACATTATTAACAAGGACTTGGACCTCCCCTTATTGATGATATCGGCCGTCGCCTGATTGTCGGTGAAAAAAGTGACGTGTGTCCAGTCGATGACGGCTGCCACGATCGGATAAATTTCAAATAACGCAGAGGTCTCGAATGCGGGAACGGTCCCTACCTCTACCGACAAGTGCTGGCAAACCAATGATTGCCGAAAATGGCCGCAAATCCGTTAGATGCCGCTGCGTCTGATATTACCTGAGGAGAGGATGCCGACGGCAACAGTATGAACATTGCAATGCCATTCCAATTTTGTAGAACTCGTCCCACATCACCAAATCGGCACGACCCGCAGCGTCGATAAGTATCTGCTCGTCCTCACTATGCGCTGTGGGTAGCAAAGCCAACAACCTGGAGATAAAACTCCTCCCCTGCGGAATGACCCTCATGGCGAAATTCAACATGCCTAACACAGACTGTAATTCCCTTCTGGTACACTTGGCGGCTATGACCAGAGCGTGCATCGAGTCCCTAATCCTGCTAAGCTTATCCTGCGGTAAGCTGGCCTGCATGGTTACCCTGTCCGAAGTGATACCTAAAAAAGTAATGACGTTGACCGGCCCCTCCGCTTTCTTCGGATCCACCGGGACATTCAAAGCCCTGAAGGTGTGGAGTAAGCGTTCAAGGTCACCGGGGACATCGGAGGGTGATTCGATCAGCAGAAAGTCATCTAAATAATGCAACACTCTATGACACTGGGCCTGATGCTCCAGGATCCAATGCAAAGCCTGCGCGAATGTGTCGAACAGCCATGGACTGATTTTGGAACCGAACGTCATTTTTATGGAGAAGTAATACAAACCTTTCCACTTGATGCCATGCCACTGCCACAGTGATTGCCTAACCGGCAAAAGTTTGAAAGCGTCCGAAATGTCTGCTTTGGACAACCAAGCGTACCTACCTGCCTGTAGAATAAGTTGCACAGCCTGATCCACCGAAGCGTATTTTAACGAAAACTCCTCAGATGGAATTAACGCGTTCAAACTTGGAATATGCGTGGAATGAGGGGCAGACAAATCCTAAATTAATCGTTTATTATTAAACTTGCCACACACTAGCCCGATAGGGCTCACTTTCCACAACACGAAAGGGGACGCGCTAAACGGCCCAATCAAAAACCCTTTTTCTAATTCGACCTTGAGCAGCTCTTCCACTATCTCAGGTTCGGCCAGAGCTGACCTTAAGTTGCCGCATTTGTACGTTGACTGTGGCAACGTAATGAACCCAGCAGTAAATCCTTCCGCTAAGAATTCCGCAAGCTTAGGATCAGGATATTCGCTCAGGTATGAAGCTACAAGGTCAACCTCAACCCGTCCTAGTCACGAGGGATGCAATGGTCTTATGGAACAACTAACTTTGGGGTGCGCCCGATAGCATTGGAGCATACGTGCAATAATCTGCAATGCGGGTAATTACATGCCTTATAGTTAAAATTATTGCATTATGGGCTCTACCCAAACATTGAGTGGGCCTGCCTAACTTGTCCATCTGGGTAGGTGCTGTACTGGACGGTGTGGGTAACAAGGAAGCGGTCCTTGAGGAAGGAACCGCATCGCTGGAGGCGGGATGTGGGCACCAATTTGCCGTGTGCGCTGACGACTGGCAATTGGAGCATACCGGTGACCTCAACCCCGCGAAGTGCCTACACAACAGCTCCGTATCGATTTTACTCTAGTTGGTTGTGAACTTAAACTGAGCCATCGCTGCTGCCGCTTTAGCTGACACTGCCCTGTGATAGTCGTAGAACACACACCCTCCATATTTGTACCCCAAATCTACCACGGAATGGATATATGCGTCAAACTCCTCCCTCCTAGTTGGACTGACCGCGCAAATTACGTCCCTATAGATGCCAAAGGCTAACACGAATTCCGGAATAGTAAGCTTCCGATTTATCCTAGGGTCTCTGGCCTTTAGAATGACTGAGACCTCCCCACAGGCATAGGACTTATGCGCTGCAATAAGTAAAGTAGCCAAATTGACATCCTTACCCTCCAAAATGTCATTCCGCAGATTAGCGGGGATAAAGTGAGCGGGGGTGACATTTGGCGGGGAGCTGACCGTACCTGGGACAAGAGGCGTGAGGGCGCTTGATGCCCCTGGGAGGACCTGTGGAATAGTGATCACAGCTTGGCCAACGGCCAGAGTTGCCTGCTTTTCCAATGCTTCCGTCCTATTCAGTAGTTCGAGGAGCGACGCGGAAATAGTATTAAGAGAAGCATGTATCTGCGTCAGTGATGTCGCAAGCGTCTGTACTGACACTTGGTCCCCGCTAGTGCTGGCCGCTGCCGGCGGAAATAATAATTTAAATAGTTCGGCCTTCCTGGCAGTAGCCGAGAAAGGAATCCCTCTGCTTTGCAACTCCGCAATGATTTTTGGTATGGTCCATGCCCTGAGCGAAGGAATGCTCCCGTGCTCCGACCCTCTGTCCTGGGGTACCCGGCAGAGAAGCAAAGTCTTCAATATCCAATTCGTGAGACATTGCGCCCACTGGGGCTTCCAATGCATGCCCCTAACTCCTTACAGTCCAGCGGCCTGAACTAAACTTGATGCATGTGCGTTGATCTGCCGACCCAATTTGGACGCTAGAAGTCCCGAGCCTGTGCTGGTTGCACTGTCACCTGCTTAATCACGATTGGACAACCCGCTGCCCAGCACTAGAACCAAGGTCCAGCGGCCTGAACCCAACCTGCTGCGATGCGTTGAGCCTGCATGTGTTAACGAGAGTGAGTGTGCTCAAGTCCAGCGGCCCTAACCAAACTTTAGCCAAATGCGTTTTGTTAATGCATGGTAATTACGACAGCATGCGTCGGAACCAAACTTGCTGCTACTGCGTAGTGCCTATATGTGAGAAATTGGGAAATGTGTACCAGTCCAGCGGCCTGAACCAAACATGCAAACCTACAGCGTTTCTTTTTTTGTTTTTTTATGACCTGAAATGCGAGTGAAGGTTTGCAAAATGTGGCAAGCGTGCCCCAAATAACTTAAAATATACCTTCGATCAGATGCCTCTAGCGTGAATATGACCCCTGAGGAAATACAACATTTAAAATGCAGCCAAACAGTACCCCCCCTTACCTTCCCAGTCCCCTTCCTTATGTCCCCTGCAGAGGCCACCCTCGGTATGACACCTGCCACCGCCTGTTGCTTATCCCCCGGGTGATCACTCACCTCCTTTTATCCCTGTCACATCCAACATTGCATTTGCCACAATTATTTGCTCTCTTGATTAAAGTTAAATATAGGGGGTTTTACGTCATTTTCAGGCCTAAAATGTGGAATATAACATGGGTGCAAAAAATGAAAAAAGGCCTCAGTCATGAAGGGGTTAAAGCACATTCACTAATTTCTTGATACAACCAGTAAAACCTAAACATTCTTGGTGATGCCAATATTGTCTGGGACTTTTTTGGGGTACACCACCTGTCAGTCCTGACTTAAATCAACTCCAAGAATTTGTTATTAGAGTTTTTAAGTTTCACAATATCCTTGGAGATGGGTACCTGACACTAGGTTTGAATGGTTGAACACCTCTGATGTAAAGTCTGTAAACAGATAAATTACATATCTACTTACTATATTCTATGGACAAGTTTACCTATATGATCTAATATCCCTTCTTAGATATATAGATATTTGGAAGCTTTGGTATGTGAAAAGAGCAAGTTTGACATAAAATATGCTTCCCATGAAATTATTTATTACTCTTCTTTCCCTTAGTAATTCCTGCTGCTGATCTATCTGAGCAGATCTCCACTGCTGGAACTGAGGCATCTGGTACAGGAAACATGAAGTTCATGCTAAATGGGGCTCTTACAATTGGCACCATGGATGGAGCTAATGTGGAGATGGCAGAAGAAGCAGGAGAAGAAAACCTTTTCATATTTGGCATGAGAGTGCCTGATGTAGAACGTCTTGACCGTGAGGGGTAAGGAATTATATCTTGTGTTCTAATGCACAATGCCTAATTTCTTTAACCAGTTGACATCCGCGGTGTTAAACCCCCTTCCCATCCAGGCCATTTTTCAGTATTCAGCGCTGCGGTACTTTGACTGACATTTATTCCGTCATGCAGCGCTGTACTGAAATGAATTTTATACCCTTTTTTGGGGACAGATAGAGCTTTCTTTTGGTGGTATTTATTCACCACTGGGGTTTTTATTTTTTTACTATATTAAGGAAAAATCACCGACATTTTTTTTAAACGTCCGTTTTTCTACTACGGGCGGACGGCAAGAGGTTAATGTAAAGTTTATTATAGTTGAGCAGTCTATATGATATCTTATAAGTTCATACATGAAGAAGTCAACAGGAAAACTAATTCACCATATAACAGTTGTAACAAGGACACTCCACTGTAGTCAGGAAATGCAAGTAAAACGCAGTTTATTAAGGGCAAACGCAAAAAGTCTCTTTCCATCAACAGGGTAGACCTCCCCTGTTACACAAGACAGCTTCCAGCAGCAACATTAAATGATAGTCCTTTGCTCATACAATGGATTTACTGCATTTCTCATCATAATCAGTTTTCTTCAGCATATACAGTCCTTTGTAGCATATACAGTCCTTAGTAGCTTTCCTCAGCTCTAAGCCTCTCAGCACACCTCTGTGTGATACTCACACTGCTCTCCCAGCAGTGGATCATGGACTCTCTCAGCGGTGTCCAACAGGTCCCTTAGGTCACCGACCTTCCTAACCTCTCCCAGCCTCCCCCGGCTGTTGCTTGTGCGTCCAGCACGCACCTGTGTCTGCCTGTGCCCCTTGTGCCTCCTGCACACACACAACTCCAAGGCTGGCCATACACCTTTAGATTATCTGCAGATTTTCTATAGTCAGATGGATAAAGATTTCTCCGTCTACGCTAAACTGTGTGGATGGAGGAATCTCCCACTGGGCCAAGCTTCAGTATCTTGCTAGTCGGCCCCGCTGGTTCTCAAAACACCTGAACAATGCCTGCATCCAATCAGATTGCTCAGGTATTTTGATAGCCAGCGGGCCTGTAGGAGGTAGGTAGACCACCGACAGGATAGTCTTGAGTAAACTTTCAGCAAAAGCAGCAGGCTGCGATCCCTCGGCTCCCTCCGGCAAAGCCCACCACTCTAATGTTGTTTCTTCATAAACGGTTTTCAGTGTCATTCACCTTGTTAGCCAGGTACTTAATCATGTGCTGTAAGTCCGATAACATGGTAGAATGAGTGGATACAGTGTCCTCTGCTGATACACGTGACTCCGCCATAGACACCCAACCCCAGATCTTGTCTAGATCATGGCGCATGAGGATGCATTCCACCACAAAGTAGTCTATTTTGGAGGTGAGCTGTCAAAAAACAATCTGATTTTATGCAGGCATTGTTCAGGTATTTGGAGAGCCACCGGGGCCGACTAGAAAGATACTGAAGCTCGGGCCAATGGGAGGTTCCTCCATCCACACAGTTTAGCGTCGCTGGAGGAATCTGTTGCACTGTTTCCATCTGACCATAGAAAATCTGCAGATAATCTATAGGTGTATGGCCATCTTAAAAGTACTATTTCCAAATGCCCATGCTATAAACACATATTTATATAAATAAAAACAATAGGAATGTCAAAATTAGTCCAGAATTACAAACAAATGTCCATGGGCCCATTCAGTGATACATGCAACAATATAATACATTTCCCAGCTGGAGTATATATGTTCTATCGTGGGTGACACCTCTCCCCATCCATGTGCGATACCATCTCCACACACCGCACTCACCAGATAGAGTGGACCATCACATTAAAATGGTGATGAAATGCACAGTAGGATGTTAGTTCTTTCTTCCTATCTGATCCACTGAATCCAAATCACCAATACAATAATTTCACCTTTCCTCCTCTCCTCTCCAACAGGTTTCAGCACATACTCAAAAAAATGTAAAAGAGTCCTTAGTGTAATTCCATCAAACACCTCTTTAAAGGAGAACTATGGGGTCAGGGCTTTTCCCCATAGTTCTCCTTAGGGTAACGAGAGGACACAAACTAGCGTCCTCCCGTCACCCTAAGCTCAGTATACCGTGAGCTACAGCTCGCGGTATACTGAGACGCCATCGATGTAGAGATCCGCCCAGCTGCGTGAGTGACAGCTGGCTCTGCCTATCTAGAGGCAGAGCCAGCTGTACCCGCCCCTCCCCGTCCGTTCTGCCAGTCAGCGCTGGGGGATCTGAGCGGGGAGGGGGGAATCCAGCCCCTCCCCTGTCACGGCAGAGAGACGTGACAGGTTCGAGAAGTGAACGAACACCAGTATATGTTCGCTCACTTCCCGATCTACTGAGCTGACCTGTGACAGTCTCATTGTCACAGGTCGGCTAGAACTATGAGGTGAGTGAAAAGCACTCACCTCATAGTTCTCCTTTAATTAAAGCCAAGATAAAAAACACTTAAATTGCAATTGCTTCATCTTCCACATACAATCCTCCCCTCTCACCCCCCTACACTGCTGCCCAATTGCTTTTTTTATGGAATTACACTATGGATTCTTACATTTTTTTTGAGTATGTGCTGAAACCTGTTGGAGAGGTGAAATTATTGTACACCGGTGATTTGGATTTAGTGGATCAGATGGGAAGAAAGAACTAACCTCTTACTGCGCATTTCATGACCATTTTAATGTGATGGCCCATCCTACCTGGTGATTGCGGTGTGTGGAGATGGTATCGCATGCAGATGGGGAGAGGTGTCACCCATGATAGAACATATATACTCCAGCTGGAAAATGTATTATATTGTTGCATGCATCACTGAATGTATCCAAGGACATTTGTGTCTATTCACATTGATGGCCAGTTTAGTGTCGCCTTAGAGCAGGGGCCTCAAATTCAATTCCCTCGGTGGCCACTAGACAATTTTTTTTCTCCCATGGGGGCCGCTTGCCAAATTTGTTACTTTAAAATAAAATTTAACTATATCCGGTTTGGTACTACGGACCCCAATACACACACGAAGGCCCCATTCATATTTGTAGGTTTAGGTGCGATTAGGGATTCCTGTGTCAGAAACTTGCGTTTTCCTGCAGCAGGAATCCCTAATCTGGTCTTTACGAGTGGCCCCTGTCACCCATTCAAGTTAATGATCAGGTGACAGCAGTTGCATGTGAACTCCAGCACACCACATGTAATGATATGTGATATTATTACATGCGGTTAGAAGACACTCTCCCCGGATGCACAATCATTGCGTCCAGGGAGAGTGATTGATTCCCAACCAAATGTAATCATATCACTTATTACATGCGGTGTACAGGCGTTTACATGCAACTTCTGTCACCTGATCATTAATTTGAATAGGTGACAGCTGCCGCTTTTAAGCGCCAGATTAGGGATTCCTGCTGCAGGAAACACATGTTCTATGGTGATCTAGTGGCAATTAGTAAGGTCTGCTGCAGACCTTATTAATCAATTATTTCGACCATTGTTCAGCGAAGACGCTGGCCGAAAGGATCCGAGTGCCGCCACAGAAGCGGCTATGCGGTTTGCATCCGGCAAAGATGCAGACCATGTAGCTGCTCCCGCAAGTCTGGTACACGGTCCGTGATCACGTACCAGACTTGTGAGCTGACTGGGGCCACATACGGCTCACGGGCCGGTACTTTGAGACCACTGCCTTAGAGTGTTGTTCAATTGAGAAGAGCTTTATTACATGCATGTTCACTCTAGCACCCCCTTATATTGGTTTATAGTGCAGAGGTATATAAAGGTGGTCAGTGTAGTTTCCACTTATATTGGTGGTTAGTGATGTGCTGCCTGCTTTCATGGTTGGTTTTAACCATTCCCCACTCTATCCAAAACTAAACAGAAGTTTTACATTTATATACTTTAAATTCTTTTTACATAGGGTAGAGCTACACTGGTGCTTAAATTGCTATGGTAATGAGAGATTTAACTGCTAATGATTAGTTACATATTTCCGTATCAAAGATAATTAAATGCCAGTGTAGCCTAAGTGTTTGTGAATAACCATCCTGTGTGGAGATGTGTTCACGAACAGCAAGCTCATAACATACCTCCCAACTTTCTGAGTGAGAAAGAGGGACACCTTTCAGGGCAAAACATGTAAGAAAAGGACACACCCCCTGCCTTTCCTACAAATACACAGATTATGAAAGATTTATATGTAAAAAATACTTAGTTAAAGTGACACTAAACTCAGGAGTTAAATCTTAATAATGCATTCAAGCAGGTACGTGCGGTCAGGTGAGGCAGAGCTTTTGACAGCTAAGCTAGGTTACACAGGAGCGGGCTTCCCCACTGTGTGTGTAACCTAACATAGCGAAGCCAGAGCTGCAACAACCTCTACTCTGTGTTACAGGCTTGAGCTCTGTGGATGGTTTGGACCAATGGCAAAGCACCATTGGTCCAAGCTGTCCAATTAATAAAACCCCACTGAGGACATCAATCTCGATGCTTCACCAGTGACAAGAAGTGAGGGACAGAGGGCTCCTCCCTCCCTGCTTCACACTAGCTTGGTGACCAGGTTGGGGGACAGGGATTTTCATTTTACTTGATTGGATAATTGAAGTGAATCACCACATTTTATTGTGAAGATTCTCCAAATTCTGTAGTAAAACAGCCTTAATATCTCTGACATGGCAGCTCCAAATGCAGTAAGAGGCCACTAGGTTTTCATGGCTGTCTGTATTACTGCTAGAGTGATGCCCCCTCTCTGTTTATCAAGGTGATTACGCTTGCATGGACTAAAGTGAAGGATAATTCAACATTTCTTGTTGTCATCACCGGAGTAGGGATAGAGGGTACATCTTCTAATGAGGACACTTGTTTCAATACTATGTGAGGGGACTTCTTCTCACTTACTGTTGTATTTACAGGTCAGAAAGTTAGCAGAAAACTCCCTAATAGGACACAGATGGCCAAAAAAAGTGACAGAGGTTTTAACCATTCCCTATTCATTCAAAATGTAAAAAAAGATTTGACTTTAGATATACTTTAATGCACACTATAAAATGTTTTCTATGGATAATGGCCAGGTGATTTATTATTAGGAATAACTAATGCTTGTATATATTTATAAACACAAAAATTATCCTTTTGATAATAGACTTTTTATAATTCCTGTGCAGTTACAATGCCCGGCTGTATTATGAGAGGATTCCTGAGCTCAGACAGGTGATTGATCAGCTTAATTCAGGATACTTCTCCCCCAAGCAGCCTGACCTCTTCAGAGACATTGTCAACATGCTGATGAATCATGACAGGTAACAATTCTCCTTTCTTTCTGCCTTTCCTTTCCTAATTCTTATTTACTTCCCCCATTTTTCCAGCTCATCATATTCTCTTCTTCTGTTCTTTCTCCATCCTCTCTCACTGCCTTACAAATACTGTATTATTTTTTTTAGGTTCAAAGTATTTGCAGATTATGAAGATTATATCAGAAGTCAGGATTCTGTCAGCGCTCTTTACAAGGTGAATTGTTATAGTACAGGCTAACACAAGGACATATATAGCAAGGAGATATCAGTTTGTTCCTTCCTGACTGGGCTATATTATGGGTCTATACACCCCCTGCACAGGACGACAGTAGCAATGTCATGAGCTCTGCTTGAGACATTTGACTTTACATGAAGATGCAACAGAAAACAAGAAACGGAAGATGACATGAACTCTCTCTCTCTCCTTCTCTCTCTCTCTCTCCCCCTTCTCTCTCTCTCTCT